ATGCTCAGCAGGCTTGGCAGTATGTGGAGAGATAAAGTTTCAGATCTGTGACCTTTTGACTTGATGCTACCTGACTATTGCTGTTTCGTAAATGTTGATAGAGCAAAAGTGATGCTTTGTGCACATCCCAAACTTTTTTTCCTATTAAATTGATAAATATAATCATAAGATCATGGAATCGTAGAATCCCTACAGTGTGGAAGCAGGCCATTCAACCCATCGAGTCCACACCAACCCTCCAAAGAGCATCCCACCCAGACCCACTCCCTATCCTATCCCTGCATTTCGCACCCTAGATACTATGGGCAATTTAGCATGGCCAATCCACCTAACCCACACCTTCAGACTGGGAGGAAACCGAAGCACCCAAAGGAAACCCACACAGACACGGGGAGAATGTCTATGGAGTTTGCACAATCACCCAAGACTGGAATCAAACTCTGGTCTCTGGTGCTGTGACGCACTGTGACTGAGGAAACTGTGCCTACAGTGCTATCCATAAGAAGCTGTACATTGTACCAAATTATTTTATTGTACTGGAGGGTGGTCAAATAAAATATTGAAAACCACTTCTAAAACTGAAAATTAACAACTTAACAAATGTTGAACTGAAACTTCATGTTGTCTTTTCCATGCCAATTTTGTTCAGCTATTTAAAATCACTAGTTCATCCAACAAATAGCCACACCTGTCAAATCAACAAAGTCCAAATGAAGACTCTTAGTTTTTTGAATAAATATCTATCTACCTTTGGCCAGTGGCAGTGAAGTTACACAAGGTCTTTGGGGCCTAATAAGGCAGGGTAAATTAACTAGCATTTCAATTGGATGATATACCCAAAAAAAAATTAACCCCATGAAAGAACCACAGCTATTAAATTAATTGATTCTGATTTAAATTGCATAATGATCTATTGACAAGAATTTCAATGAATAATTGCAGAGATCCTCAGTTTCTGCCTTTCAAATGTTATTATGGTGACATGGTGAGCAGCATGGTTCGACACACAGTAAAACAAATTCATGGTGTTAGCACACCTTGCTTCCATTTCCAACATTTTTGGTGTTCCTTTTTCACAACCTATTTATGTTGCAGGAATAATTTGACTTGACATCATTGTGAAGTAAATTTTCATCAGTCTATTACAAAATGCAGCCTTTTCATATTTTTTTGAGTCTGTTTATACTAAAGCAATAGCGCAAACTGAGATGTCATCTTAATGATCATTACCTTCGTGGTGTTTTCTCCATATGGAGATTTGTAGGAGTCATTTTTCTGTGTTGCAGTTACCTTTCTATTGCTTTAATATCTTTCTACTTCTGGTAAGCCTAAACTAAGTTGAATTTCGATAAAGAACAAATTAAACTGCTATGGCTAATTAAGTTTTTGTGCCAATTTTTTAATAATTCCTTTCTTCACTTCTTTCAAACAATGAATTTTGTCTATTTATGCCCATCCCGCATACATATGTATTATCTTGGTACAAATAGATGATTAATCTTTATGTAAGATTGCTTTGTGAAAACTTCAATCTGATTGTTAGTCTGAAATTTTTACGACAAAGTGTTTAATATGTTAGATTTCAGTGTACATTTGTTATTCTTAGGGAACTGTTTTTAATCTGGATTCCGAAGAGGAAGAACAAGGAGAAACTGTAGATGACAGCAATGATATTTGCATCTTAACAAGTGACAACTCTGGTCAAGTAAGTCCTCCTGAACCGCTAACTGTCACCAGTTCTTGGCAGGCAGCTGGCTTGCCAGCTTCACTGTCTACGAGCCAAAGCTGGCATACTGAAAGCCTGCCAGTTTCTCTTGGAACAGAGTCTTGGCAACAATTATCCATAGACCCAGAGGACATGAAAAGCTTGGACAGTAACGGTGGTGGTGAAGAGAGAAGTGAAAACAACTCTTCTAATTCTGATATTGTCCATGTAGAAAAAGAGGAGCTTCCTGAAGCAGTCGAGAGCCAGGAGGCAGAATTAAAAACTCAAGTGTCAGCACCTCTACTCTTGCAACAGACCACACAAGTGGAGGTTGAGCTCCCTGCTGAAGTAGGGAAAGCTGATCCTTTATCAGTATCAAGTCCAATAACAACCTCTGAAATAGAGGAAAAAACTGTAACACTGGTAAGAGAAAAGGCTGTTGAATCCAGCAAACCACATCAATCAACTTCACTGCAAGAAATAAGAAAGCAATTGGAAGAGATTAAAAAAGGAATCTGGGAAGATGAAACAGAAACCAAACCAGAAGATGATGTAAGAACAGGTGAAATAACACCACTGCCTAAATCAGAGGATGCTGAAGAAATTGTTCCTGCAAAATCAAATGCATCTCTTTTGATTTATGGTGGAGCTGCTGCTTTTGCAATGCTAGCTGTGGCAGTAGGGGTGGTGCTCGCCTGGAGAAGAAGATTTTAATCGTGAATTGTTCACAAGTGAACTGTGTTTGGGAACGCTTTCTGTTCTACAATTGATTATTATGACTAATTAAGCCTATTTATTCAGCTGCATTGCAGAAAATGTGATCAATGAGGAAAACCATGGTTAATAGGGGTAGATAATCAACACAAATGCATGAATACTGGGCAGTACTAATATATTGAGGAAATAAATTTGTATAATGGAATGGAAATTGTGCAGCATGGAAGATGTTCACACTGTATGCAGTACAATCTTAGAATGATGCTAATAAATCTCTAAATAGCACTGAAAAGTGTTAAATCATTGTAGAGGAGAGAAGCACTTTGAAACTGGAGCATTGACAAGAAAAACCACTAAAGTTCCATTCTGGGGAACTAAGTATTCAGGTCTTAGTTAGCTGAGACCTTTTTTATATATAATCTGAATTAATTCATTCTGTCATTTTGATTCTTTAGCTGCTGGTAACATTACTTTATAATTTTTAATGTTAGCCTTGAGCGATTGTGACACTAGTTTGAATTCATTCAGATCTACTTCTGCTTGTATATTTTACTTTGCCTCCTTCTCTGATTGTATTTGGTTTTTTTTTCCATAGATAATGGAACAATTTTGATTAATAAAAATGAGAACTTCATTTGATCATGTCTATGTGCGTAAGGTTAAAAGTAAAATTTAAAGTAGGTATTTTTTCACTACTGTTACTAATGCCAAGACGATAGATGTGGTGTTCTATGACTTCATGTTGGAAGTCTGCAGGTGACCTTATTTGTACTACATGTTAAGATGACACACATGCTCCCCAGCGAGACAACATAACATAAATTGATTTTTTTTTTCAAAGCAGCTCAGTAGTGTTTTTTTAAGTGCCAGCTTTGAAATTTGTACTGAATTTTGGAAATGAGTCACAATAAAATATGGACAATTGTGGGTGTAACATTATTTCTACAAAACTGTCACAAAAAGTAAATTATATTCTACCTTAGAGCATTATGATTTGAAATAACCAAAATTGCTGCAGTTCTTAATCTCTTCATTTCTCCTTAGAAACCAGCAACTTCTATAATAGCCATGGCATATAACTCAAATTAAATAGTTTTGATTTTATTTCACATTAATTGTATGGTGCACTTTGTTGGAAATGCCACAAATTTGTGGTTGTATTAGGGTTGTTATAGCTTGTATTTCAATGTTGCTGGGTTAACTCCTGAAACTCCTCACCAGGTCAGTGTGTATAAAACTACTTTTGACTTTAGTTCAAGAAGGCAGCTCATCCTCATCACCACCACCTTCGGTAATGAGATAGTCAATAAATGCTAGCGTTGCAAGAATTAACAAGTCAATTTCAAAGCTACTATTGAAATATTAGTGTATACTCCATTCTTTGCAGTAACTGCAACTGATTTGTCTGCACCAGGTGAAGTGAAAAGAGCCTATGTAAACCTGGACTACTGACTGCCATGTAAGCTCCAAAGCCAAGTAATCAGCAAATTTCTTATTGGCATTCAATTGATGTATCCATACGGCTTGTTTCTAGATATTTTTGCCTAGCATCTTGAGTATGTTGTACTGCTGTTTGAATAATTCCTGAATTAAACAGCAAGGGTCATTTGCAGGCCTTGAGCTAATTGGTTGAGCAGTGGGATGGGGAAGAAAGAGTAAACAAGCATTATGGGCTTCAACAGGTACTTTATTTTAAATTACTACTTAGAAGTTTCTTGCTGAAAATAAACGTTAATCATGCAATTATCTAGTCAAGTGCAAGATTTCTAATTTCAATCTCTATATTCATACTCCCCAGAAGAAGGTAGGTACATCCATTGACCCAGTCTTTGCTATGGAGAAAGCAAGGGGGGGTTGTGTGCTGTAGGCTTCCTATGCTCCTGGGTAACTTTTTTTTTTAAAATGTAAGGCTCGAACCTTATCTTTTATTTACAGAAATCAAGTCCCTATGTCACTTCAAGTATGGATGAGCCAAGATACAAAACTGGATTAATTTGTTAAATTCAATAACTATATTAACAGGATTGGGCAGCACTTAGGTGATTGCACAAACTGCCAACTCTATTTTTCTTCCTCCACAATTGTCCAGTTTGACATTTTAAAATTAGTGTGGTTTTCATCTATTCTGATAAACCAGTCTACATTACTGCACCTGCATTTTAGCAAGGTAATTTTAATAGCTTTGAATCTGGGATATGTTTAGGTAGTGGAAAATACACCACTGCAAGCTTGTTTGCTTTTTTTATGTTTTAAAAAGTGGTAGAATAGTTTTTGTTGAAGAACACTTGGGAGATGAAAGCTTAAGGACATGATTATTTTGTTCTCAAACTCTTAATTAGAAATTTATTTTAAAATACAGTAAACACCAAAATTAACATACACTTAAGTTGTAATTCCTCAAATTCAGCTCCATTTTCTCAAATTCAAAAGATAGAGCAAACTTAACACTTCAGTTTTTATATGATATGCTAGCCATAAGCAATATCCTAATAGCATTTGTAATCAAATTCATACTATCATGAATTTAGAAACTGCAGTCACTAAAAAGTATTTGAATACAGAACTGAAGGCTTTGTTTTTTTTTAAAAAACAAAAATGCATTCAAAAACAAACTACCACCATTCATTGCACTTTGAGTGACTCCTCAATTTTATGTCTGTTTTCAAATCCATTCAGTTCTCAGTTAGGGTCCGTTTAAAACTGTAGCTTTGTTATTTCATATTCTAAAGCAAAAGTATTAAAAAGCCTCTTAAAATGGCTTCCATGTAACTTCATTTTACAGGAATATAAATCAAATTGATTCAATTTTAGCCAAAGATATTTCTATTGCTTGCTTGTAGTCTCACTGTATATTTTGCTGTGAAAGGAAAATAAATCAAATTAAGCTTCAGGTAATAATACTGCAATATTATGAACAGCTTCAAATGATTTTAATACCTTTTTAATCTATAATCCAAACATTTCAGCAAAAGTTATGGATAGATATTGGCTGTTTTCCACCACCAGGCCAGCGTCAAGAGTAAAACATTTGTGTATGAATCTAATTGTACACAGAAAAGAGACTTGTGATAAGTATTTTCTAATTAACCTTTTCAAAAAATGTTACTGCATTCCTCTGATGGTCTCCTGCCTCAGAAGTAGGAATGTTACTACTACACCACAAGTGGCCCTCGGACGTGTAGTATCAAATGGGGAACATATCACCACCAGATCTGAGAAAATTTCATTCTAAATTGTTATGACCAGGTGAAAATTTAGCTGGAAGAATAATTTATGCATTGCTCAATTATTCATTCATTGTTATTTTTCCTATAACTTTAGTTATGAAATTGGCAAGTTGGTGGAGCTCATGTGGAATGAGGGCAATTTTAAAAAAAATAAACAAAATTAGAGCTTAAATCTTTGCAAGCCTCTTACTCCACCAATAAAGATCATTTAAATGTGTCAGCCTCACTTTTTTTAAAAAAAAAAGTTGATTAATTTCTATACTGCAGCTAGCATTAGCTAGTCTCATGCTTAACACTCCCGCTACTGCAATGTTTCTACAATACTGCTCTCATTCAGCTAAAATATTTGCATCTTTTACAGTCATCTTAAAAAGCTGAAGTACTATATTAAGAAGTGTTTGCAAATTCTTGTTTCCTTGACAAGTTGTTTTATTTTTCAACCAATGCTACTTTGTTATTTGGGGGTCCCTTTTCTCATGTTGGGGTAGCAGGCCATTTGGCACCTCAAGCCTATTCCTCCATTTCAGTAAGATTAATAGCTAATCTGTTTGTGGTTTTAATTCCACTTTCCTGCCACTATGTATTCTGGACTCCATTGTAGATTTAAAAACTCCAGTCTTGCACATATTCAATGACAAACCTCCACTGTATTAGGCAAAAACATTCTAGAGAAAGATCAATTTAAAACGAGACCTCTTCTTTTAAACATGTGCTTGAGCTTTGATTTCTCAGAAGAGGGAGCATCCTTTAACCATCTACCCTGCAACTAAAATCTGTCCTCTGCTTTGAAAGACCAAACCTTGCTTGCTTACTACAGATTTTGTTTTGTACAAATTGGCTGCTGAAACTTCTGCCAACTGTGACTGTACTCATGACTAAATTGCATTGAGGATATATCTCATGGTTTGAGATTGTTCCAAAATGTGTTCTTGCTTTAAATTCATTTTTTACTGTCATTTAAATAGCTAATTAAGCCCAATTTAGAAGTATGAATTGGTACAGAAATAATATAACCAGTGCTTGACCATTCAAAGTACAGCTGATTGCCATTCTGTATAATAATCCCCAGTGGTTAACACTGCAGCACACAGAAGAAAATAAGGTAGACCTGAAGCCTTAGCTGGCCATCATCATTAATGGCTGTGCTATGTTCTCCTACAGTGTAACTACAGGTATCGTTGCACGTAATGGATCCCTTTTGGACCGAACCAAATGGAAAACATCCCTTGCCAAGTACTTGCAACAATGCCAGTAGAGTCCTAGGCAGATCGGCAAAAAGGAATACAATGGCCTAAACACTTAACTTTATAATCATAAAAACATTCAATACAAGAGCAGATCATTTACCTACCCCTGCTAATTCTAGCAAGACCATAAACAGGGACAGGTGGTGGTCATTCGGCCCCTCGAGCCTGCTCTGCCATTCAATAGGATCATGGCAGATCTGACATTCCCCACGTCCCCTTTCCCTGTAACCCTAGATTCTCCTACTGAAATGAATTTATATATCTCAGCCTTAAATATACACAAGGACTCTGCCCCCACAAGTCAGAGTTTGTCCCCATCACAGTCTTAAATTGGCACCCCTTAATTCAGAGACTATAATCTCTGATCTCAGACTCTCCAATAAAGGAGAAACATCCTCTCAGCAATTACCCTGTCAAGCCCCTTAAGAATCTCATTTGTTTCAATAAGATTACTGCTCATTTTTTGAAATTCCAGTGAGTAGAGTCCTAAACTGTTTAACCCTTGCTCATAAGACAATCCCTCCATTCGGGGGTCATCTTAGTGAACCTTCTCTAAACTGCCTCCAATGAAATGATATCTTTCCTTAAATAAGGGGACCAAAACTATCACCAGTGCTCCTGATGTGGACTCACCAGGACATTGTACAGTTGCAGTCAGGCTTCCCTACTCTTATACTCCAAACCTCTTGAAATAAGAGCCAACATTCCATTAGACATCCTGATTACCTGCTGCACCTGTGTGCTAGCTTTTTGTGTTTTGTGCACAAGTACCCACAAATGCCTTTGTGTTGCTGCTTTCTGCAGTTTTTCTCTATTTAAATAATAGTTCCTTTGTTCTCCCTTCCAAAATGAACAACTTAACATTTTTCCACCTATACCGCATTTCCTAACTTTCCCAATTAACATATCAATATCTCTCCTGAAATGATGTACATCCGTCTCACAACCTGCCTTTCCACCTATCTTTGTGCCATCTGCAAATCTGGCCACAGTATATTTGCTTCCTTCCTCGAAGTCATTATTTTGTAAACAGTTGTAGTCCCAACACTAATCTCTGTAAAACCCCATTGGTCACAGGTCGACAACCTGAAAATGAACCCCTTATCCCCTCTAGCCGTTTCCTGCCCATCAGCCTATTCAATTTCAATAGTTGGGTTTGGCTCCATTTAATTTTTCTATTCCTCTATCATCAGGATTATGCTATGTTTCTTGATGACATGAGAATCAGCTGCTTTAAGCGCTAAGCTGTCAACACTGCTTCATCTATTTCCCAAACTGATTCTAGCCCAGCTACATCCCAGCCAAGTACTTTATTAGTCTGACTTTGCATAAGACATCTAAGAAGGAGCAAACACTAGATTTTTACACAGTCTTGGGGAAGGTCATCGACTTGAAAAGTTAACTATTTTTGCAAAGTTACTGCCAGACCTGCTGAATATTCCCCACAACACCTTTCATTTCAGATTTTCACCTCTGACACTAATTTGCTTTTGTATTTACTCCTTCCTCTCTCTTCCCCATAATAGCTCACATTTCATAATCTATTGGATCACTTGATGTCTTCTGGCCCATCTGGTTCTTCATCCTTGCATTATGTTGCATCATTATTTCAGTTTTTACTCAAAAAAACTTCAGTAAATTAAACTGAGTTCTTAAAATCAATCCACAACGTATCACTGAATACATTAAAAAAAAAACCTACCCATCCTCCTATATTCTGAATATAATTTTGGAGTGTATTACTAATGTACTGGACAGTGGTTTTGAAGATGCGTGGAAGCAATAGCGGTTTCTCTACTACAGTTTTTTTGAACAGCATCATTGCCAGCAATAGGAAGACTTTCTCCTGGGGCATATCTCGAGTAACATCATTTCGTTGAGTAGTCAAATGGGCAATCATGGCAGACATAATCCTGGTTCCATCCTGATGTATTAAAACGAAGAAAGACGATTATATTGACAAGATTTACATCCAGTTATTAGGAAATAATTTTATATGTACAATTTATATAAGCATATGCAAACAAATAATGTTACTATAATGGAAATAAGTCACAATAAAGTCACTTTCTCCTAGCCTTCTAGGTTGATCTTGAGCATGAATCAAACCAAAACAAGGAAGTTGTTTGGTGTTATTCAAGCTTAGTTTCTTCAAGCTGTTTCCTTTCTTATTCTGTCATTAACTCTTTATAATTAGAATGGAAGATGCCAATTCAGTGAGCAACTTGAGGAAATTACATTCTGTATTTGCATTTATAACTCTGTAATCTTACTTGATTTTGTAGCAGACAATTCCAGGAAAACATATATCCCAGCCTCAGAAAGTGAAAACTTAATAATTTTCTTATGTTGATGGTTGCTTCAGTCCACTTTTCACATACTTTATTTTCCATTACCTACATTTTAACCACATGGGTATAAACGATGAGGGAGTCATAATTTGCTGCACGAGTGACTCTAATAAAGTCTGTCATTAGCTAGACTTCACTTGGCTGTTTAATCTTCCCAATACTTTGAACCACAAGATGCTGTAACTGTAGATTGACAACAGTGCACAAAAGAAGAATCAATCACTAGGACTGGAAATGAGCAGGGCAAGCAGCTGTCACATTAAAGATTGTGAAACAAAAGCACAGGGATTGAAAAGAAAGTATAAATATCAAATCAGGTACTGGAAGAACTTAAAAATGAGAAAACAGGAAAGAATACAAAGGAGAAGTACATGTATTAATTTTAAAATGAATGAAACTGCAAACTTTGAATAGTTCATTTTTGGAGGCAGAGAGGTTCATTAACAGTAATTAACAATTAGCATATTGCTAAAAGACAGTCAATAAAGGTTAAGTACTGGCTCCTCCAGTCACGTCAAACCAGCTCAAACTTTGTATGGCAAATTTATTTTGTTACTGCCATGCAAATATAGCACCTTCATGTCACTTCATGCATTTCAAATGGCAAGTCAAAAAGTGGGATGCCATTTTTGATAAGCCAGTAGCAAAGCAGAACATGTCATTCCACATTTCATCACAAATCTTTCCTCAATGAAGTTACTGTTAAGTTGCACATTGCAGTTTTCAGATACTAAATCACATCAGGAGAATTCCCTTTGTAGATGGAACTTCTGTAAGCAATCAAGGGGAAAGACAGACAGCGTTTTTCATTCTGAAATTCTACTTTGTCAAAATTAAACTGATGCCTTCATGTATCTAGATAAGTAGTGTCTCAGAGCTTTTTAAGTTAAGCACATATTAATTCCTTTGCAGCTGAAACATTTATGTTTTAACATTTCTACCACTCCTCCAAAGAAAAAAATTAAACAAAGACTAATATTTCACACCATTGTTGCAAATGTTATGGACCAGACCGAATGCCCTCAAAATATACTAAGAAGATAGCCTCAACCCCAACCTTTTCTTATTTTTAAAGGCAAGTGTAAGGTGTTGTGTTCCAGATACAATTCAATTGGTCAAGTTGGCTTGAAGGAATACACAATTTATTCTTACGCTATAGTTAAATTACAGACAAAATAAGAATAAAAAAAAGCTTTACTATAACTCTATCGAAATATTTAACAATTTAATATGTTAACTACCACTGATTAGCTGTTCCAAGATAGTAACATCCCATCAACACACTCTTGGCAGAGGCAAATTCAGTAAAATAGATTATCTCACGTGCAGCATAGTGGGGTCAGTGAGGTTAGTGGAAAGTGTGGAGCGGACAAGGGAGTCACGGAGAGAGCGGTCCCTACGTCCGCTCCACACTCCCCAGTAACCCCACTGACCCCACCATTCCCGGCACCTTTCCCTGCAACCGCAGGAAGTGCTACCCCTGCCTCTACACCTACCCCCTCAACTCCATTCAAGGCAAAAAACAAACCTTCACCATCAGACATGGGTTCACCTGCACAACTGTCAACTGTCAACTGTCTACTGTATCCGCTGCTCCCAATGTGCCCTCCTCTATACAAGTGAGACCAAGTGGAGACTTGGAACCATTTTGTAGAGCATCTGCGCTTTGTACGTGACAAACACCACCATCTTCCAGTCGCAAAACATTTCCACTCCCACTCCCTGGGTGACATGTCCAACCTCTGCCTCCTCCAGTGTCACAATGATGCCATCCATAAACTGGAGGAGCAGCACCTCAGATTCCACCTTGAAAGCCTATAGCCCAATGGCCTAAATGTGGATTTTACCAGTTTCAAAATCTGCCGTCCTCCGGCCTCATCACATGACCAACCCTCCCTCTCATCTCCACCTCCTTGACCTGATACAACCTGTCAACTTCTCCCCCACCTATCCACCCCTCCCACCTCCCTGACCAATCCCCATTACGCCCTATCTGCACTCACCTATCACCATTCCACCTACCTTCCCCAGCCCCCACCCCTCCTCTCTATTTATTTCCAAGCTCCCCTCCCCTCCCCATTTCTAAAGAAGAGTTCTGACCCAAAACGTCAACTTTCCTGTTCCTCTGATGCTGCCTGGCCTGCTGTATTCCTCATTCTCTACACTGTGTTATCTCTAACTCCAGCATTTGAAGTTCTTGCTATCTCAAGACCTGTTTATCACAAGTTGTTTACTTTATTGGCTGGAAACAGAATGCTCAGGACCTCGGTCTCAACTTCTCTTCATAAAACCAGGACAAAATACACCTCTTAAAAGCCGTAGTATTGTCACACAAACCATAGAGACATTTCTACTTCGCTGTAAAGATGCTGCCAAATGGCTTTACTCGTGGTACTAATTAAATGGATTACTGCAAAGCATAAACAAAAATAAGATGTTAAAGAATCTATTTTTGCTCCTTTACATGATGCAGCATACATGTTAACTTTTGAAGGACCCAAACCGTTTTCATCTAACATAATGCATGATTTTTCACTCAAGATCTATGATTTTTTGTATTTTTATCCTAATCAGTGCTTTCCTATTGATTTATTCACTCCTTTAATTTTTTTTTGCTCTGTTGAAAATATACTTCAAACTGCATGTAAATTAGCAACAACGTATGGAATATAGGTAAGCAAAGAAGCAACAGACAATACAGCTTTTTTGGGACCTCTCCATAGATAAACTTCTATTTGAATACAAATACATTTCTTTGATATTTACGCAAGAGAGTTTAGGGCATGAATAAAAAGGTTGCTAGATTTTTGAGATTTTAAAGAGAAAGGTTTAGGGAGAACAGAAAAGTTTAAGCAGAATAAGATCAAATTTCCTTGCGTCTCTGCTGCAAATGTTGTCATGAACAGGTAAGGCAAAGTTACCATTGTCCAAGAGGACCACAGGGGTGTTCTCTCAACAGAGAGAGACAAGTGGTGGTTAGTTTAACCCAAGAGTCACCACACCTCAAACAAAGCGTGAAGTTGGAAAGGCAGGACCTTCATGGTAACCGAACCCGCACTCTTGGTGTCACTCTGCATCGCAAATGAGTGTCCAGCCAACTGAGCTAGTCAACCCCCATAACAGGGAAATTTGGCAAAGGCCACAGTTAGAGCAACAGAGAATTTATGGGGGTGGAGGGAATGATTTGGGATTTAGGGCTGGTAGACAAAGACAACAGCATGTCAAATGTCTCCTGCATTATTCTGGACCATTTGCTCTTCACCCCAATCCTCAGTGGCTCTCCCAACTTGTTAAATCTAAAAGTTGCATCCTCACATTTTGTTTCAAGCATGAATGAGATGAGCCTGAAGACAACAGCAAAGGGGAAGATAGTTTAGAAACTTCAGAACACAGAGGACACAGTGACAAACTTAGTGAAAACACTGAACCAAAGTTAATAGGAGTATGCATGGTAGGAAGCTTTGTGGATAGTCATGATCTTCAGAAATCCAGGTGTTACTAGTACTTTGTGTCAAAGGGACAGGGGAAGGTCTGGACAAAGAAATTATCCTTTGGAGTTGTCCTAGTTCTCCAAGATCAGTTGGAGAAGCAAAAGATTGGTTAGGCAAGTTGACAGTTGCAGAACTGTTGTGAAAAATGAAAAACCAAAAGGCTAAAGCCATCAACCTATTATTGCTGAAAACAAAAACATGACAGTGCCCCTACCAATACAGTCCGTTTGCCAACCAGTCAGCAGTCTCCTTTCATACAATATAAATGCTGTTTTCCTTTAACATTAGTATTTCTTGTGAATTGTCCTGATGAACACAGGACAAAAAAACTTTGATAAAATGTATCTTTTTGAAGCAATACTCAAATTTTATACCACCAAACAACTTAACCTACTATTCTTGAAATGTTTCCTCCATATGCACAAAAATACGGACGAAATCAACATTTTTCTAAAAGCTTAGTAACTACGTTGACAGCCTACCTCTTGGGGTTGAATCGCTTCATTTGCGTGGATAAATTGTTCAATCAAGTTACGATTAAAGATACTTTGATCCAGCTCATCTCCCAACTCAACCAACTGTGCAGCTACCATTCTGTATAATTCATCATCACCTTGATCTGCTGAAAATAAAGCAATAGATAATTTGTATTAAATTCAGCTTCTACCAAGTGAATGCTTTTTCATCAAATTGGTTGTTGTATTTACATCTTCAGGATGTTTTAAAACAAATAATACCTCCATTCAAGAATGAAAAGCCTAGATTTCTTCAGCATTTCCTCAAGGACTTTTGCTGAGATAGTAGGTGCATTTGTTTTCATTCTACAAAAGTCCCTAGATTCTAGAAAAGTCCCAACACAAATGTAATTTGTCTATTGCAGAAAGGAGGGAGACTAAAAGCAGGAAATAACAATTAATTCATATCTGTCATAAGGAAATTGATGGTATTTGTTACAGTGGGACACTAAGAAAATCCCAATGCAATCAAGCATTTTATTTTTGTGGAAGAAAAATTGTGCTTGACTAATTTATTAAAGTTCTTTGAGGAAGTAACAAGCATCATGGGTAAAGGGAACTTGCAGATGTGGTGTACTTGAACTTCCAGAAATCAAAGGAGCCACAAAGGTTACTGAACAAAATAAGAACTCATTATGCATGGGGTAACATATTGGCATGGAACAGAGGATCAGTTAGCAAACAGAGAGTAGGCATGAACAGGTCTTTTTTGGTTTGGCATGATATGGTGGGTAGAATGCCACATGGATCAGTGTTGTGGTCTCAGTTATTTACAATTTACGTTACTTGAATGAAGGAACTGAATGTGCGGTCGTTAAGTTTGCTTATATCACAAATATAAGTAGGAAAGTAAGCTTTAAAGAGGACACAAGGAATCTGCAAAAGGGCATAGACAGGCTAAGCAAGTGGACAACAATTGGAGAGTTGGAATTGAAAGTGGAAGCATGTGATTATTAGTTCACAGGAAGAACAGAAATGCAGCACATTAGTTAAAAGAAGAGAGTCTGATAAACTCTTAAGGAGCAGGGGTATCTGGACATCCTGGTACATGAAACACAAAGTTAGATTGCAGGTGCAGCAAATGATCAGAAAGGCGAGCAAAATTTGCCATTTATTACAAGAGGAATAATATCTAAAAGTAAGGATTTTCACTACAGTTGTATCAAACTCTGGTGAGACCATGTCTAGAGTACAGTGTACAGCTTTGGTCAACTTATTTAAGAAAGAATATGGTTGTATCAGAAGAAGTGGATTAAAGGTTCACTTTTCGGGTCCGGTCACCCTTCCTCAGAACCCGGACCCGAAATGTTAACTCTGTTTATTCCTTCACAGATGCTGCCAGACCTGCTGAGCTTTTCCAGCAACTTTGTTTTTGTTCCTGATTTACAGCATCCGAGTTCTTTCGGTTTTTATAAAGGTTCACTTACCAACTTATTCCTGGGAAGAAGGATTAACATTTGAGGAAAGATTAGACATGTTGGTCCTGTAACTATTCAAGTTTAGAAGAATAAGAACACGTCTCATTACAACAGACAAAATCCTGAGGGGACAGGAAGGGTAGATACAGAAAGTCTGTTTCCCTTTGTAGGTTAAACCTGTGGGGGCAGTGTAAAGATCAGGGGTCTCCCATTTAAGACAAAGACGAAAAAAAATGTTTTCTCCTCAAAAGTCATGAGTATGTGGAATTCTTTTCTCCAGCGAGCAGTGACAGCAGTCATTAAATATTTTTAAGGCGGAGGAAGTTAGATTCTTAACTAACAAAGAGTGGAGTTGTTAGTTGGCTCGCCGAGCTGAGTGGTTTTCGTGCAAACGTTTCGTCTCCCTTCTAGGTCACACCTTCAGTGCTGTGTAGCCTCCGTTGAAGCACTGTGGTTCTGTCCCACTGTGAATTAAATGGTCCAGTCTCACATGGCGGGTAGCCCTGTTTCCAGTTTTGTACCGTAGTGGTATGTAGATGGGGTCTATTTGAACATGTTTGTTTATCGCACCGGTGGTTGAAAACCAGGCCTCCAGGAATCCCTGTGCTTGTCTTTGTTTTGCTTGTCCTAGTACTGTAACTTTGTCCCAGTTAAACTGACGTCCTTCTATGTCAGAGCGTACTGAAACAAGGGAGAGTATTTAAAATACCATGCAGCAACTGCGAGAAACACTACATAGGACAGACGGGCAGGAAACTCGCCACCAGGATACATGAACATGAACTCGCAGCAAAACAGCATGACCAACTCTCCCTCGTTTCAAAACACTTCGATATAGAAGGACTTCAATTTCACTGGGGCAAAGTTACAGTACTAGGACAAGCAAAACAAAGACAAGCACGAGAATTCCTGGAGACCTGGTTTTCAACCAGTGGTGCAATAAACAAATGTGTTCAAACAGACCCCATCTACATACCACTACGGTACAAAACTGGAAATGAGACTGCCCACCATGACAGCAGGCCAGGCAGCACCAGAGGAACAGGAAAGCTGACGTTTCGGGTCAGGACCCTTCTTCAGAAATGACCCATATGACAGACATATAAATTCAGGGCGAAACAAAACAATGGCACTTCAACAGAGACTAGACAGCACTGAAGATGTCACCTAGAAGGGAAATGAAAAGTTAGCACAAAAACCAGTCAGCTCGGCAAACCAACCAACAACTCCAACCACAACTCGAGCTACAGATCTTCGTTAAAACATTAACGTTCAAAGAGTACTGGAGATAGGCAAGAAAGTGGACTTGATGCCATAATCAGATCAACCATATCTCATCAATGGTAGAGCAGGATCAAGAGGGTGAATGGCATTCTCACACTCGTAATGCGAATGTTTTTCACGTGCCTTCATATTGGTTGAGATGTGTTCAGCCTTGTGGCATTTTTCGGTGCTGCTTTAATATCTTGCTGTTTGTTGGCAATCAAAAATAGATATAGCGCTTGAGATATGATGTCAGCACAATACCACACAAGTTGATCACAACTTCCTTTGACTTGTATTGTTTTGGTTATGTAGTTCAGTATTTTATTAGTTTTTCTGATCCTTGTTCTGTGCTGGCTGGATATGATGTGTGCATGGTTTACCCACTTCTTTCCTCTTCATCTTTAGTTATTTAAAAGAATATGTATGTGACACATTTTCCTTTCTAGATGCATTACATTACATTACATTTGTCTGATTGACCAAATATTGGTGAACTCGTTCTGTAATTTTTGACTTTCCTGCTCTGATATGGATGATATTATCTCCAAACTGATTAATCAACACAGTTTCTGAATCACTTACTAATGTCAATTAGAAACAGCATCAGTCCTCTCAACATACTAAGTACAGTTCCTTCTCACCACACATCTTTGTCATTTTCTACCCTTCTGCAATTTCTTAGCCACTACCAAGTTTACCCTGAATTTCTTGAGCCTTGCACTTAGCCAGTGGACTTTAATCTGCGTCTTTATCAAATGTCTTTGGGAAATCTTGGTACACAATGTAAAAATAATTTAACATAGTCCATTTGGTTGTCACTTCCTCAAAAAACTGTGGTGTTTATTTGAGGAAGCCTTCTAAACCTGTGCTGACTGATTTACTGGGGTGCTCAAGTAAGCTCCTAATACCATTATGCAACCTTCTGAATCATCATTCTTTCTAAAGAAGAGAATTACATTAACTTATTTCTAGTCTACTGTTGGGACCCCTGTGACTACTGACTCCCTCATTATCAATGTTTCATAAATCTCTTCTCATATTATTTCAAGTCTCTATGAAAAATGTGATATATGAGTGAGACGATGGCTCAGTAGTTGGCAATGCTGCCTCAAAACACTAGGGATCCGGGTTCAATTCCAGCCTTGGGTTACTGTGTGTGTGGAGTTTGCATATTCTCCTCGTGTTTGCGTTGGTTTCTGCCAGTTGCTCCACTTTCTTCCCACAATCCAAAGACGTGCAGGTAAGGTGGATTGACCATGGTAAATTGCTCTGTAGTGTCCCAGGATGTGCAGGCTAGGTGGATTAGCCATGATAAATGCAGAGTTACGGGGATTTGGTAAGATGCTCTTTGAAGCATCAGTGCAGACTCGATGGGCTGAATATCCTCTTTCCACACTGTAGGGATTCTATGATCTAACTCGTGATTTCTTTAAAAATGGGAAACCAGGAGTGTTGAAAACAAAGGTTCTTGCTCATTATAATTATCTATTTGTAAAGTGCTCATGTTTAGATGCTGGGTAATACTAGCATAAGGCTCAACTGTGATTTACTGCCAGTTAAATCTCTAGGGATTATATTGACATAATCCACCTCTGAAACAAAGCAGTGATGTAATATTCTTAATCAGAGATGGTAATATCACATGCTACTAGTCTATGAAAAGTGGTTATTGCTGAAATTGTAAAAGACTATCTTATCTTGTAATCCAACCCCCTTGCAGTAAAGGCAATTTGTCTTTCTAATTGCTTGTTGTATCAGCATGCTAATTTTCAGGGTTCCTTGTACAAATGCACCTAGAAACAGAGTGAAAAAATTAATTCTAAAAGGCAGCATGATGAAAAGGGCAGGCACACAGAAAGATATTAATATGGGGAGGTCAAGATTCTCAGTCTTGCCAGCCATAGTTCCTTCTAGTGGAGTACAGATTGTAGCCTAGGAAGATGGAAAGCCATTGATGCTATTAATCTCTTCATTATTAATAACTCTTCCTAGTTGCTACACCTACTCAAGTTTTGAGAGTGCTGGTGGAACATCAGAAACTTATTTCCTGTTGGGGAGGGGCAATATATGGAAGTGCTGGCCAAATTGCCAGGGATAGCCAACACCAATGAAATCACCAGCCAGCAAAAACTAAATTGCAACATTCATTTTCAATTGTAATTAAAACATTATTCACATATTGTGGTACCAGAACAGATCCATGCCTGAGCCTACAATCACAGTAGTTAAATACTAAAGATACACTACGTTGGTGATGCTGGACATCTAAATAAGAACTGAAAATGCTGGACACACTTAGCAGGTGAGGCAACCTCTCTGGTCAGAAAAGAAGAGTTAACACTTCAAGTTTCTGACTTTTTGTCAGAATTTGTACAGATCTAACAGTATGTACAGAAGCAGGGAAACAAATGAGAGATTATCCTGTTAATAGAATCATAGATTCCCTATAGTGCAGGAAGAAGCCATTCAGTCCATCGAGTCTACACCAACACTGAAGAACATCCTACCTAGACCCAGCCTCCCACCAAATCCCCATAACCCCACATTTATCCTCAATAACCTACTTGGCCTGCATACTTCCTTGGACACTATGGGGCAGTTTGCCATGATCAATCTACCTAACCAGCACATCCTTGGACTGTGGGAGGAAACCTGCTAACTATGAAGGTGAATCCGTGGGTAGGGAAAACAAAAGACATGCTGGAAGCACTAGTATGGGAAGCTGCACTGTGAGGGCAGATGTGAAAGGTTGATTATGACTTCCTACAGGAAACGGGATTGGAAGATGTGTAGCCAAGGGCTAACTGTGGGAGTGAGTCGGTACCTTGTCCCATATCTGAACGAAAGTCTGTACGCTGAGGTCCTGAAGGACAGTGTCCATCCGTCTGAATATCATCGTCAAATCTGGATCCGTTTCTCAATTCATTTTCAAGTTTCTGAATTTCTTGCTGGTAGGTTCGATTTTCAACTTTATTTTGCTGAAGAAACTTCAACAAAATATGTTGAGTCTGTTCGTCAAAGGAAGCATCAGCGTCCCAAAACATATTCATAATGTTCCTTGCCCTGTGCCCTGCAATTTAAACATAAATAACATGTTTTAGTGGCAAGACCAATTAAGACACAGCAAGTCTAGCTTAGTTGAAACAGTTTCGTTTTGGAGGGGAAGGGGTACACATCAGAGCTGATTCTTGATTTTAGAAAAGATGAATACATAAATTTACGTACGTGATCTACACAACTGTTAAATTGAGGAAATGCAGAGACCGGAAGCCGAAACAGATTTTCGTTATACCTAAAACGCTTTAAACCTCCCCAACATTCGCAAAGCAAGTTTATGTGAAGACGGTTTCTTCCCCAGTTTAAACCTATAGACGTTGCCAGCAACGATAGTTCAATTACTCACTCCGATCAGCAGCGCCGGGTTTTCACTTTGGTCAAAGACTTTGCCGAATCCGGTACAAGTTGCTGCTGGGAAATGCAAACCTACACAAATTCCCCTCCCTTTTCCGCAACCCTTACACAACGTTAAAACACGCCCCTTGATATGCTTCTACTGCTTGCAGCCCAAGCTGATGAAGACCGAGGAATGTGTTCTTTCTGACTTGATGTGGTGGCGCTAAAAGTGTGTCAATGCTCCAGGAAACTGCGACATAAATTGTTACAACTGCAGGAGGCACCAACACACTCCACACTCCGGGGTGGAAAAATAACAAGCACTCTCCCAGCAGATTGGGGGTTCCTCCTCTAGGTGCTGCTCCAGTAAAACCGACTGGCCGCAAGTTTTTCGAGTATTCAATCAGGAAATTAATTATGTCCATACACAGTGAGAAGAAACGTACAGTAGACTCCCGCCCCCAACCCCCGGTGGAATAGCGCTAGAGGAGGAAATAGGTCATTTACATGCCATGAGTCATAATGATTGTAGTATAGCAGTCAGTAAGCGTAGGGTGGTGCTTGCTATCTGCGAGGGCAATTCAGCCAGTCCCCCCGACTTGCTCACCCAATCCCCTTCCCTCTTTCCTAATATCCCCTTCATCCCCTTGTTACCACATAGCCTGCCATTACCCACCCCCTGTTGTTAGTCACTAACAGTCCCCATTAACAACTACTCACCCTCCCACCCTGATCGTTAGCAACTCCTTTGTCTGTCCAACTGTCTTTCTCTCTCTTTGGGCTCTATCCTATCATTTACTCCCGACCTCACCCACCTCCCTATTCTCTGCATATAAACTGATGTTTTCCCAGCCACCATCAGTTCTGAGGAAGGGTCATCAGACCCGAAACGTGAACTCTGTTTTCTCCTCGACAGATGCTGCCAGACCTGCTGAGCTTTTCCAGCAACTTTGTTTTTGTTCCTGATTTACAGCATCCACAGTTCTTTTGGTTTTTCTCCCCTTAATCCTGCCCGTTTCTTTTTCTCTTTAGGTGCCTGTCAAATTCCTTTCTGAAAGCCACAAATGATTCTGCGACAGAAACAGAAGGTGCCGGGGAAACTCAATAGGTCTGGCAGCATCCGCTGTGAGAAAAACACTCTAGGTTTCTCATCTAGTCACCCTTCTCAGAACTGAAAGCAGCTGGGAAATGGTGGTTTCTTTTATTTTTTCAAAAAAAATCTTTATTCATAAATTATTTATAAGTAAAAACAACTACAACACATCGGTACAGTTTTTACAGAATAGACAATGGACTTGTGACACTTCAGTCCAGTTGCAACAAGAGGGCATTTTCTAATCATGAAAGAAAACTATTTACATTCCCATTAAGGCCACAAGGGTACCTCAAAACTTAACAGACCCTTTGTTATATTTTGGCACAAAGACCTTGGGTGGTATTTATGCTAATGATAATGGGGGAGTGTGAATTATTAGATAGAGAAGGTGCCCAGACAGAGGAAAAAATGAAGCCAAGGGATTGCTGGGAGACAGGTAAGTACTAATTGGATGTGAACATTTAAAAATGGATTGGCTGTCCTGGGAGCAATCCATCCAGAACTGGACCTGGGACATGGGATGGGTAACAAACATGGAGGAAGATGGAATTGTACTGTAGGCCCCTCAATTGTCAGAGGGAAATTGAGAAACAAACATGTAGGAAGATCTCAGATGTGTAAGTATAATAAGGTTGTAATAATGGGGGGGTTTTCCAAACATTGAAAATGTTTGGAAAATGGGCAACCATTGTGATAAAGGTGGATGGTGAAGAATTTGTCAAATGTGTTCAAGAAAATTTTCTCTATCAATATGCGGATGCTCCTACTAGAGAAAGAGCAAAACTAGACCTTCTTTTGGGCAATCAGGCAGGGCAGGTGACAGAACTAAAAGTGGGGGAACACTTTTGGTTTAGCGATCATAATTCTATTAGTTGCAAAATGGTTATGGAAAAGAATAAGCCTTCCATAAAAATTAAAATTTTTAATTGGAGTAAGGCCAATTTTAATGGTATGAAACAAAAACTTTCAAAAACTAATAGGAGTAGACTGTTCGCAGGTAAAAGGACGCCTGACGTGTGGGAGACCTTCAAAAGTGTGATGACGAGATTTCAGAGGCATTTTGTTCCTGTTACAGGTGAAGGGTAGTGCTGATAAGATTAAGGAATAATGGATGAATAAAGATATTGAGGTTCTAATCAAGAATGAAAGAGAATCTTATTTTAGATGTAGACAACAGTCCTGATGAAGGGTCTTGACCCGAAACATCGACTTTCCTGTTCCTCTGATACTGCCTGACCTGCTGTGTTTCTCCAGCTCCACACTGTATTGACTCTGACTTCTGGCATCTGCAGTTGGTTCTATCTTGGTTCAATTGAATCTCTTAATCAATATAGAGTGTAGGGACATTCTTAAGAAAGAAATCAGGAAGGCAAAGAGAGGATATGAGATAACATTGGCAGATAATTTTAAGGATAATCCAAAGAGATTCTACAAATACATTAAGAGAAGGAGGGCAATTAGAGAGAGGGTAGGGCCTCTTAAAGATCAAGGAGGTTGTCTTTGTGTTGAACTCCAGGGGGTGGGAGAGATACTAAATTAATATTTCATGTCAGTTTTTACTGTGAAGAAACTGGTGACATGCTGGCTCAGTGGTTACCACTGCTGCCTCAGCACCAGGGACTTGGGTTCAATTCCAGCCTTGGGTGACTGTGTGGAGTTTGTGTGGGTTTCCTCCAGTGCTCTGGTTTCCTCCCACAGTCCAAAAATGTGCAAGTTAGGTGGATTGGCCATGCTACATTGTCTAGGGTGTGGGGGTGAGTCAGGGTGGGATGCTCTTCAGAGAGTCAGTGTGAACATGTTGTGCTGAATGGCCTGTTTCCACATTGTACGGATTCTGTTTTTTTTTTTAAAAAAAAAAAATCTATTCCATAAATGGAGTCTAGAGAATGCAGAGAAATTAACTTTAATATTTTAAAAACAGTTCACATTAGAAGTGGAAGTTCAGGAGGTCTTTAGAGAATATAAAGGTGGATAAATCTCCAGGACCTGATCTGATGTATCCCAGAATGTTGCATGAAGTAAGGGAGAAAATTATAAGACCCATGCAGAAATATTTGCTTCATCTATAACTATAAATGAGGTGTCTGATGACTGGAGGGTGGCTAATGTACCTTTATTTAAGAAAGGTTGTAGAGAGAAAATGGGGAAAAACCTGAGAGTCTGACTTTGGTTGAGAGTAAATTGTTGGAGGTGATTCTGAAAGGTAGGATTTATGGGCATTGAAAGAGAAAAAAATGATTAGGGATAGTCAGCATAGCTTTGTGCGAGGAAAATCATTTCTTACAAACTTGATTGAGTTTTTTTGAGGAAGTTACAAAAACGATTGATGGCAGAGCAGTAGACATTATTTATTTGGACTTTAGTAAAGCCTTCAACCAGGTGTGACATATTAGACTAATTAGTAAAGTTAGGTCATATGGGATTCAGGGTGATCTTGCCGATTGGATACATAATTGGCTTAATGGCAGGAGACAGAGAGTGGTGGTGGTGGAGGGTTGCTTTTCAGACTGGATGTGGTGTTCTGCAGAGATCAGTTCTGAGTCCTCTTTTGTTTGTCATGTATATAAATGATTTGGATGAGAATATAGAAGGCATGGTTAATAAGTTTGTGGATGACTCCAAAGTTGGTAGCATAGTAGACACTGAAGAAGGTTTTCTAAGATTACAAAAGCATCTTGATCACGTGGGTCAACGGGCTTAAAGTGGCAGATGGTGTTCAATCTGGATAAATGTAAGGTATTGGTACAATAAACAAGGGTAGGGCTTATACAATTAATGGTAGGACCTTGGGTAGTGTTGTAGAAGAGAGGGACCTAGGGATTCAGGTACATAATTCTTTGAAGTTTGCATCACATGTAGACAGGGTGGTTAAAAAAGTGTTTGGCATGCTTACCTTCATTGCTCAGTCCTTTAAGTATAGGAGTTAGAAAGTCATGTTGAGGTTGTACAGAACATTGGTGAGGCCTCTTCTGGAATACTGTGTCCAGTTCTGGAAGGATATTATTAAGCTGGAGAGGGTTCAGAAGACATTTACCAGGATGTTACTGGGAATGGAGGGTTTAAGTTATAAGGATAGGCTGGGACTTTTTTTCACCAGAGTATAGGAGATTGAGAGGCAACCTGATAGAATTTATAAAATAACAAGAGGTATAGATAGAGTTAATGGTAGTTGTCTTTTCCCTAGGATGGGGAAATTTCAAGACTAGGGGACACATTTTTAAGGTGAGAGGAAAGAGATTTATAGAAGACATGGGCATTTTTTTTACACAGAGGTTGGTTTGCGTGTGGAATGAACTTCCTGAAGAAGTGGTGGATGTGGGCACAATTACAACATTTAAAAGGCATTTGGATAGGTACCTGAACAGGAAAGGTTTGGAGGGATATGGACCAGGAGCAGGCAGGTGGGACTAGTTTAGTTTGGGATTATGTTTGGCATGGACTGGTTGCACCAAGGGATCTGTTTCTGTTCTATATGACTCAGATGGTAAAGAAGAAGCAGCTGGCCTTATTGCTTGCAGACTCATAAAGGTTGTCAGATTAAAAGCAGGTGGTGGTATTTCACGTTGAAGAAAAAGAATGTTTTTGTGTTAATCAGCCAGGGTTAATCAACAAACAAAGTTGGTGAGGACAGAATCCATGTTTGCGGAAACAAGGATTGTGAAGTCGTTTCAGGTAGGCTCAAATGGTTAATTGAAGCGGATTTGATTTAAAGGAGTACTGGAAGATTCACCTTCATGAAGTTTTCAGTTGTGCCACAAACTTCAGGGAAATATCTTCTGGAGTTTTGTATATTCATTGCCTATTATGTAATGTTCAGTCAAAGTTGATCTAACTTTGCTGCAGCAAATGTCTTAAAATGTAAAATCTTGTTGTGCAATTCTTTGTGTTGATCACTGGGAATTCATATCTCTTTTTAAAAGTTATCAATCTCTATGGAAATCATAGCATGATTGTTTAGGAACTGCAGGCTGTAGATCTCAACATTGCACCCTTTGAAGCCGCATTGTATCACTCACAACAACTTACAGATTCCTGTTTTTTTTTAAATTCATTGGACATGGGTATCACTGGCCAGCTGAGCATTAATTGCCTATTTCTAATTGCCCTGAGGACAATTAAGAGTCAAGAGGACATTAGGAACCATATTTTTTCCCTGACAGTTATTTCATGGTCATCGTTAGATTCTTAATTTGAGATTTTTTATTTTTAAATTCAAATTCTTGGCAGGATTCAAACACAGGTCCCCACAGTCTCTGAATTAATAGTTTAGCAATAATACCACTAAGCCATCACCTTCCCTACTCATTCTGCATGTGTGCAGATTCCTTAAATTTCAATGTTTTAATGACAATGAGCACTAACAGGTTCACCATCATTGTTACCACGAAACCTGGTCTGTTTTTTTCTCTGATCGAATGAAATCATCATTCACTAAAAGTAGCTGAGGACGTGATTTAATGAGAGTGCCTTCATTTGAAAACTTACAGCTTTAGATCTCCTATCTGCAGTCTGTGTGCTACTACTGAACTCCACTGATGTGTACTTCAAATGAGGATAGGGTCTAGCTTGCTTCCTATAAGCTCCAGCTCCCATATAGGTGAGTAGGTTATAATTGTTCAGACTTAGGGATGAAGAACAGCCATTTTTTTGTGGACAAGAGGGGTATTTATATAAATACCAGGAATTAGTATCTTTAGTGTACTGGTCTGTATAAAAAAGAGCAAAAGCATTAAATCATTTAGAAGGCTGAGGTTAGTGATAACCAGAGGGTGAGCATGGGTTCAAATCCCATTGTTGCAGCTAATTAGGGGGGGGGGGGGGTCTTGTGGTGCAGTGGTAGTGTCCCAACCTCTGGGATAGAAGGTCACAATGTGATGGCACAACAAGTTGAGAAATAAAATCATTTGGCTCACTGGGAGGCCATTCAGCCCACTGTGCTCAGACCAGCTTTTTGAAAGAACTATCTAATTAGTCCCATAATCTTGCTTATTCCCCACAGCTATGAAAATGTTTGCAAACGTATTACCAACTTCCTTGGAAAGTTGCTATTCAACCTGCTTCTACCATTCCTTTTGGCAAAACATTCTGGATCATATCGACACACTGTGGAAAATAAATGTCTTCTGTGTCTCTTTTGCCATTTATCTTAAATCAGTATCATCTGGTCACAGGCCCTCCCGACAATGGAAATGCTTCTTATTTACTCTATCAATATTCTTTCTAATTTTAAAGAGCTCTTTTATATAACCCCATAATCTTCTCTGATTTAATGAAATGATCCCAAAATAAAATTAAATGAATAGGATGCAATCATGTTTTCTTTTCAAAAAAAATTTTTGGTACAATTTGTAAAACATGAAACCTTCACTAAATGTGTTTCTGCACACAGAGTCTCTTCACCCTTTCACTTTTGGTATTGGGCTGCACAAAAAATCTTTGTTCAGTGCTTAGCTAAGAAGAAAAAAAATCCAGCAGTCTCTGGAGCAATTTATGTGACTTAAAGTTTGCAGAATAACTTATAATATTGCTGCTTCTTTGTCTTTGGGAATTTTTCAGTGATTTTCCCCTAAATTTTTGGCATTTTTTTTATTAGTGGGGAATTCAAAATAAATTTTCCCCACTTTCTCCTGTAATTTACATATGCTTAGTTGAATCAATAGCAGTCTTACCTCTCATTTAAAGAATTTGCATACATCCCATTGAGAATTTGAAGATGACCTGAATTGGGTTTCTGTATAGTCCTAACGTTGTGTGTTGTTGTGTTAGAAGCACTGTATTGTGGATGAGATGGTAGACCAGGATCCTATCTGCACATCTGGGTAAGCTGGAGATTGCCTGAGGCACTTGAAGAAAGTTATGCACTTCTCATAATGTCTTGGTCAGCATTTATACCTCAACAAATATAACTTTTCATGTTGCTTTGTGTGGCATCTTGCCACAGACTATCAAAAATACAAAAAGCATTCCAGTAAAAGCTATAAATTAGGAAGAGGAAGAGAGAGAGGAAGTTACTGAAATTACAATAACAGGGGAAACAGTGCTAAGCAAACAGGTGGAGCTGCAGGCTGACATGTCCCGGGTCCCGATGGGTGTCATCTAATGGTCTTAAAAGAGGTGGCTAATTAGGTATTACATGTATTAAAGTTGGTTTTCCAAAATTTTTAGATTCTCAAAAGGTTCCATCAGATTGCGATGTAGCAAGTATAACTACTGTATTTGAGAAGGGTGGTGGGGCTTAGAAAACAGGAAACTACAGGCCAGTTAGCTTAATGTCTGTCTATTAAAAAAGGTCAGGATCAATCATTAAAGGGGTTATGGCTGGGTACCTGGGAAAACTCAAGGTAACTGGAAAGAGTCATCATGATTTTGTCACAGGGAAACATGTTGAACCAATTTATTGGAATTTTTTGAAGGGTAACATACACTGTGAATAAAGAGGAAAATGTGGACACCCTATACTTGGATTTCCAGAAGGCATTTGA